CCACCGAGGGCTGTGCCCCAGTGATTCCTGAGATGATTACAGCTGTTGGATCCATGGTGGGGGGGATTGGAGTTTTACAGTCCCTTGAAGGGGTGCAGAAAATGGGTGAAGATAGCAGACCACTATTCTGATTAAAAACAAAAACAGGTGCTGGAGTTTTGCTGTAAGTACCAGGAGGTACTCCAAACTGTAACTGAATGGTTGTGGGAGGCCAACAATATCACAGTCTCACCACCTTCCTGCTCCCTCTCCTCTCCTCCTCTCTTTCTCTCCTCCTCTCTCCTCCTCTTCTCTCCTCTCCTCCTCTTTTTTTTTTTTTTGGTCAGTCTTGGGGCTTGAACTCTGGGCCTGAGCACTGTCCCTCAGGTCTTCAGCTCAAGGCTAATGCTTTACCACTTGAGCCACAGTGCCACGTCCAGTTTTCTGGTGGTTTATTGGAGATAAGAGTTTCACAGCTTTTCCTGCCCAGGCTGGCTTTAAACCGTGATCCTCAGATCTCAGCCTCCTGATTAGCTAGGGTTACAGGCATGAGCCCAGCACCCAGCTTCATCCTCTCCTCTCCTCCTCTCCACCTGTCTCTGTCTGTGTCTCTGAGTGTAAGCCACCAGAGCCCAGCTCTAAGAGTTTCTCCCTTCATAACCAACCCCGCCATCCCAAATTCACCACCCCACCCAGACCAGCCTGCATCTCTCTCTCTCTCTCACACACACACACACACACACAAATAGTATTCTCAGATAATTTATTCAGAATTTTAATATAAACAAGTAATTATTCCAATATTTTACATGCAGAACAAAATTTCAACACTCCCCTTTTCCCTCCCTGAGTTCCCCCCTCCCCTTACAAAAAAAAAGGCATATTCTGTACATGGTGCTCTTTTTGTCTCTTGGAGGAAAACTTTTTTATTTTGAAGAACTGAGTTTGAGGGTGTTTTGTGTTTCTGAGTTCTTTTTCAGAAGCTGTGGAAGCTTTGACCCCCGTGTTGGTGACACAAAGGACTGAGATGCAAAGTGGTCACAGGTGACTTTTGACTCCTTGACACACAGTGCTAGAGACCAGACACACCAACACACGTGTAGATGTCTGCTCATTTGGGGGTGATCTCTGGTCTCTCCCTTCTCAAATAAGATCCAGAACCCCTGATTCAGAATCTTACAAAAAAAATTTTTTTGTTGTTATGGCCCACACCCAGATCAAAGGTTTTTTTTTTTTTTTTTGGTGTTTTTTCCCCCCAGAGACAGATCCTACAACCTGATTGGTGACAATTCAAGCTCAGAAAGCCAATGCATCCATCTTCTCGGGGAGACTTGAAAGCATATCTTTGCCTTTAGTTAACTCTATCACACTTCTGTGTGCCCCAAAGGACAAGGGCTGACCTTGAGCATCCCATCAATCTGGTGTAAATTAGGATGCTGAAAAACACTCTGGAAGATTCTTCTGAAAAGGACACAAATCTATGTACACTATTTGTATATAAAACCATCTCTTCTCTTTTCCCCAAGCCCAACAAGCATAATTCCTGAAGAGCCTAAGGCGCTCCCCCCCCCCTTTTACTAGGTTGCATCCAAAATATACCCAGCTTCCCAAATATCCACCTGCCATGAAGTTAAAGGATTATGGTTGGAACAATTCATTTACTAGGAACCCTTGTCTGTTGATCAGCGTAAGGGCATGCTATATAAATAACTGCTCACATTGGGCCACCCTTCCATGCCGGTGGGGGTGGGATGCAGTAAGATTCACCCCAAGCAGGTGGTATGGTTCCCAGTGGTCACAGATTGTTGCTCCAATTCCTACATTTCCCCTACCATACACACAATCAAATTGGGCTCGTGATCCTGTAAAGAACCAGCGGCGCCCACCTCCTAGCTTCAAATCTCAGGGCAGCACCAAGGACAGCTCCCAGTAGGCAAGCCATTTCCTGAGAATCTATCTGCTTGACATCACTGGTCTAGGCAGAAAATACAGTTTTGCTAATATTCTCTTCCTGGAGGAAGTTAACGGCTGTGTGGGTCTCCTCATGGTGATTTAAACAAAAAGAAAAAAAAAAGAAAAACATTTTCTTATAATAGTGAGATGTCTTTTAAAACAGCAGAAAGTGCCGGGCGCTGGTGGCTCACGCCTTTAATCCTAGCTACTCAGGAGGCTGAGATCTGAGGATCCCGGTTCAAAGCCAGCCCAGGCAGAAAAGTTCATGAGACTCTTGTCTCCAATAAACTGCTCAGAAAATCAGAAGTGGTGCTATGGCTTAAGTGGTAGAGTGCTAGCCTTGAGCTGCAGAGCTGAGGGACAGTGCCCAGGCCCAGAGTTCAAGCTCCATGACCGACCAAAAAAAAAAAGTGTCTGTTAAAGCTGGGGGTGGATGCTTCCTCCTCCTCACTCCCACCCTCTTGTCATGACAAACTCTCAAGATAGCTGGGTAGCAGTGCTTATGCCTGTAATCACAGCTACTCAGAAGGCTGAGATCTAATGATCTTAGTTCGAGGCCAGCCCAGGCAGGAAAGTTTGTGAGACAATTCATCTCCAATGAACCATCAAAAAGTCAAAAGTCGAGTTGTGGCTTAAGCAGTAGAGCACCAGCCTTGAGGGGGGAAAAAAAAAAGCTTAGGGGACAGCATGCTGGCTCTGAGTTCAAGCCCCAGGACTGATACAACAAAAATGTGTTTTCAGTGCACTGATGGGCTTGATATTTCCCAGAATTCCTTCCTTCCACTCCAAGAATATGAAATGTTGCATTGGGTGGTTGAATGTGAAGTGCTGGTGAACAAAACACATCACCAATCTGAAATGGGTGAGATCGACCTTCGTACTCACTTCTGTCTAAGCCGTGGGAGTCAGTGGGACAAATGGGGATGTTGGCTCTAAACCAGTAATTAGGGAAAAGCCATCTCTTACAATCTCTTACCCTCTAAACCCTGACAGTTGGTTTCTATTTGGGAAACACAGTGTCCCATAGATCAAGGATTTTTTTTTTTTTTAAGGAAGAGTGAATTCAGAATACAAATGTTATCATGACCAGGAGAAAAGGAATTTATGCCCACTTGAAGACCACACCTTCATTCCCAACTCCCTCCCTCAAAATTCTTCCCGGTCCCTGGCTTTTGTGTTTTGTTCTGCTTTGTTTTCATCAACTGATAAAGCATTATTTTTACCTCACCCCACCACCTGACTTGAGCCAGTTCCAGTCAGAACTCTGAAGTCTTAAAGATAGCCATTGTTGAACCACATCCTAACAAACACTGAGGTAGACTGTGCTGGAGAGGAAAAAAATTTTTTTTTCATTACCCACATTCACCTGTTTATTTTTCCTTGATAAAAATTTACATGCACTCCTTTTTTTTCTTTTACCAAAGTGATTTTTTATATATTAAAATAAATACTTTCCCCTCCCCCCATACAAGAAAACCTTTCTGAATTAGAAAAAAAAAAAGAAAGTGAAAATTGCTACAAGCGCAGTATACAACCACTACAGATTTACTACAAAAAAAAAACTAAACAAACAAAATTGCTTAAATCTACATGTGTGTCTTCATTGATGTAAAGACCCTCTTTCTATTTACAAAAGAATTTTGGCAGAAAATAATTTCTGTAACTCTTGCTTCTTGCACTCAATTACTGAGGCTTCCCCACCATTTTTTTGTTTGCTTTTATTACTCATGCTGTCATTTCTCGAGTTATATAAATGAGCTGGCGATAGGTGATTGGCATTTGTCTCTACCTGTGTTCTTGGTGGTGAAGACTGGAGAGAGGGGCTCGGATGTTGTCATTGTCTCTCCATCCACAGGTCTTAACAGAGGGGAAGAGGAGAAGGATGCAATCGAGATGCACAAGCTTGTGAGACAATGCACTCACTCCGGTCAAAAGCCATAGGCGACGATTTAGATGAACCCCAGATGGTGAGTTCACCGCCTTCGGGACTTGAGCAGCTGCGGTGATTTTTTTTTCCCCCGCCAAGAGGAGATACCTATGGATTCACACCTATCCATAAAGTCCTCAATGGCAAAAATAATAATAATAACAACAATAATATTAAAGGCCATTGGACTGTTTCTCCTCCTGACTTAAGTCTTATGGGGATGACACAAGAAGCACCTAAGAAATGACCCTCAGGCTCCACACCTGGCCCAGGGGATGATGGCTACCCCCGAGTACAGAGCAGTTCCATCCAGCTATTGTTGTTTTGGGGGGGAGGGGGTGTTGTACCCTTTTATATTGCTTAGTGTTCTCCAGGTCCATCCAGAAGATGAACACAAGGTGTTCTCCAGGAATGGCTCAGCTCCAGCTCACCAACCACCACCAGTTTATTATCCAAGCAGAAAACTTGGCAGCACAAATCTTGATATTCCAACCATAAAAATAAATCCAGCTGCCCACATTCCAACACTGGGACCTCACAATGTCCACGGAAGGGTTAGCAGCGAACTGTGGCTTGATTCCCAGTCAACAGGTGTCTTTCACAGTCCATAGGGCCACACCTTGTTCCCTCTCCCCACCACAGGCCAGTCCCACCCACCCCTCCCCTCCCCCTCTGGAGAAAAGTAATCCTAATAATAACTTAGGGAGGAGAAATGTGGGGAGATTGCTTCAAAACTTACATAGGTTACCAAAAGAAAATAAAAGTTCGCAACCCTCTTTGTCGTCTCAGTCTTTCTATTTTGTTTTTTCTTTTCCTTCTTCATTTTCCTCTTTTGATGATTAATTTTGTTGTTGTTCTTGTCCTGACTTGATTTGGTCTTCATTTCCTTCTGAACTCTTTTTTTCTTGTCACCCCGGGGGAGAGAAGACACCTGTGGCAAGACTTCCAGAAGGAAGTGTAGAGGTCACACTGTCCCAGTAAAGAATAAGAAAGGGGAAGTGATGGACACCAGCTTGGAACTAGCAAAGGCACAACCCTTCCTGAAAACCTCATTTCCAAAGGCCAGGCCACCCAGTTTGAAACTCTTCTGAGCTTGCGCAGAGGCCCCTAGCCTGGACACACAAAGCCCATCCACACAGACGCATGTGTGGATGAAGACACATGCGCACATGCACACGTGGCTGTACCCACGTGCCAGTGTCCTCCTGTCAAAAGTAAGAAAAGAGCAAAAGAGCAGCAGCTATTGGTCAACTTGAGGAACTTGATTTTGTGAACGAGACACAAAAATAATAATAATAATATTAATAATAATAAAATTAAATCCTTCTCAAAGGCCCCACCCTGCAAACTTAGGAATTCTCCTAGAACAGGGTTGTTGTTGCTGTTGGTTTTTCTCTTTTTTTTTTGCTTTGCTTTGCTTTCAAACATCTGTCTCACAAACAGTTTCTCTCTTACAGTGTAAGCTCAGACACCAGCTTAGAAGGAAAAGGAAAAAAATGTAAAAAACAAAAACAAAAAAAAATAGATGTTTTCTTTTCATCACAACAAAGAAAGGAAGATGAAGATGAAGAAGAGAATCCTGGTTTGAAATTGTGGAGGCCAAAAAAGGGCAGCAGCTGTGGGAACCGCCCCCCCTCCCCCCACTGTCTCTGGGCTCAGAGTTCGCTTCCCCTCCCTCCCCCCCACCCAGGCAACGATCAAAAAGAGGAATAGAAAACGTGTCCCAGCGATCTCTGAGCCCTGTGTCACAGGGGGCAGAGTGAGGAGAATCCTGAGGTTTCTGGAGGCGTCAAACCCAGAGGTCATGGCAAATGGGCACCCCTGCCCCCCCCATATTCCCTGCCCCTTGGGCACTGTTCGTTAGGAAGGATTTGATCTGGGAAGAGTCAGAATCCTCCCATTCTTCTTGCCTCCATTCATGTGGGTGTAAGGGATGTGCTCTTCATAACTCCGCTTCAACCCTAGGGAGGACACTCCGCCCTCCCGGCCCCCGGCCTCTTCCCTCTGACAGTGTGAGGACCGATCCAAGGGTACATTTTCCATATCCCCCTCAAACTCCATCTCCAGCTCCTCATTCTCCGGCCCCTTGTTCTCCTCGCTGTGGAAAAAGGAAACTTCTGGAAAGCTAGGGTGCAGGTCATCCTTGAGCAGGTTGACGATCTCCAGGAAGGTGGGGCGCATTTTGGGGTTGAATTGCCAACACATGTGCATCAAATTGGTACTGTGGGATGGACAGAGAAGAACATATTGGGGATGAGTCTGGGGGGGATCCCCTCCCCCCCAAGAGATCTCTTTCCACTCCCCTCTTGGCCTCCTACAACCAGAACTCCAGAGAGGGCCACGTGTGTGGATGATTCTCAAATTAGAAATGGTAAACCCGATGCTGGTGGCTCATGCCTGTCATCCTAGCTACTCAGAAGGCTGAGATCTGAGGATCACAGTTCAAAGCCAGCCTGGGCAAAAGTCCGTGAGACTCTTATCTCTAATGAACCACCAGGAAACCAGAAGTGGCGCTGTGGCTCAAGTGGTAGAGCTCTCGCCTTGATCTTAAGAGCTGAGGGACAGCGCCCAGTTCAAGTCCCATGACCAACACACACACACACACAACTAGGAATGGTAATTCTGTCAGGGCTGGGAATAGTTGGGGCCAAATAACATTGTCTCATTTCCAAGCCACGTTCCACGTCATCTGACACCTGCCTGGTCCCCAGCACCTTCAGGCACTCGGTTCCTGCCAGAAGTTTTCCACCAGCCTGGGATCAGTTTGGAAAGACTGACTCTGCCTGCCAGCTGCATCTAGGCTTAAAGACCTTCCAGGTTGGGATGCTGGAGCCACCCCCCCCCCCATCAGATACAGCTCAGGGGACGTGAACCAGAGAACCGGCTAGCTCTAAGTGGACAGGCCCACAGTCTAGCCTTCCTCTCTGGGGGCAGGGAGGAGGAAGGACGGGGGAGAGGGGGGAGGGAAGAAGGGGTCTTTGGGATGGAACTAGCCCTTGCCTGGATTGTCTATACCATGCAGTGTCTACACCATGGAGACCCACTTAGGACACAGTGGTAAACAAGAAAGCAAAAAATGGACTTTTTTTTTTTTTTTGCCGGTCATGGGGCCTGAACTCTGGGCCTGGGTGCTGTCCCTCAGCTCTTCAGCTCAAGGCTAGCACTCTACCACTGGAGCCACAGCGCCACTTCCGGCTTTTTCTGTTTATGTGGTGCTGAGGAATCAAACCCAGGGCCTCATGCTTGCAAAGCATGCACTCTACCACTGAGCTACCTTCCCAGCCCCTGGACATCCTTTTTTGTTTTTTGCTTTTTGCCTACTACTGGGGCTTGAACTCAGGGCCTGGGTGCTGTCCCTGAGCTTTTTTGCTACAAGGCTAGCAATCTACCACTTGAACCACTGCTCCACTTCTGGCGTTTTGGTGATTCACTGGAGATAAGTGTCTCATGGACTATCCTGCCTAGGCTGGCCTTCAACTGCTAACCTCAGATCTTAGCCTCCTGAGTTAGCTAGAATGACAAGCGTGAGCCACCAATGCCTAGCAAAAAAAAAAATTTTTAGTTAAACTTTAAAAATAAAAATAAATGAAATAAAAAGATTGAAACAAATTTAAAACAAAACAAGATGTCATGTGCAAACACAAGCATGCATGTAGACACACAATACACAAACCCAAACCCGAACAAGTAAAAGGAGCTATGTCTCCCATGAGTACTTACACTCTCTCAGGACAATTGTCAGGCTGATCTAAGTACCCTCCATCCATGACGAATTTCAACACCTGTTCATTAGACAGGCCTTGGTAAGGCTGTTCGGCTAAACTGGTGATTTCCCAGAGGACCACACCAAAGGACCTACCAATGACAATTAGGAGTAATTAACAGAAACCAATAAAACACACACACACACACACACACACACACACGCAGAGCACTAAAACCCAGCTGACCAATGAATAAAATACTTCATGTTGCCAAATTCACAAATTCCCTTGATATTATTCTCAATCAGAACATAAAAGTATCCTTGGGCAGAACCCCAAGACAGTACATTCTCCTTCTTTCTTTCTGCTGGTACTGGGGTTTGAATTTAAGAGTTCATGCTTACTCCGCTGGTGCTCTACCACTTGAGCCATGCTTTCAGTCTGCCATTTTGTGGGTTAATTGGAGATCAGAGTCTTACAGACTCCCCGCCACCCCACCCTGGACTGACTTGGAGCTTGATCTTCCAGGTCTCAGCCTCCTGAGTAGCTGGGATTACAGGCATGAGCTACTGGGTGAAGAAATATGAGGAAGACAGGTATTTTTCCCCCATCTCCTCTGCCTGTTGAATTAGCAGTACACTTAGAATTCAAACCCAGCAACACCTGTCTCCCAATTACCATGCACAACTTACCACATATCTGAGGAAGCAGTGAAGACCCCATCCTTCAGGGATTCGGGTGCCATCCACCGCACAGGTAGCAGGCCCTTGCCCCCCTTCCGGTAGTAATCCATTTCGTAGATGTCTCTGGTCATTCCAAAGTCTGACAAACAAAAAGAGCACACGCTCTCAGCCTTCAGCCCCTCATCTAAGCATCTGCCATCTTGTCTTCCCTACCTCTCACAGGGCCTCAGGGAGACTGGCCCCCAAGTGTGTGACCATCTGGATGGTGGCCCGATCCAGTGAGAATAGATTGGGTTTTTTGGTCAGTTGTGGGGCTATAACTCTGGGCCTGGGCGCTGTCCCTGAGCACTTTTGCTCAAGACTGGTGTTCTACCACTTGAGCCACAGCTCCAGTTCCAATTTTCTGGCAGTTCACTGGAGATAACAGTCTCACGGACTTCCCTGACCAGACTGGCTTTGAACCATGATCCTCAGATCTCAGCCTCCTGAGTAGCTGGGATTACAGGCTACTGGTAATAGGCCCATCTTAACTTTGTTGTAGAGAGAGTTGTTTTCTGAGCTGGACTGGTTCCTCTCTATATCAGGAAGTTATTTTCTTCCCCACTCTTTGCTATGTCTTCTCATCTTGTTGATTTAAGTATAATTTCCTTTAGGATTTTCCCAGGTTATCTATGATGAACAATGTGGTTCGCCTTTCAATATGGTACCCACAAGGCTGGAGAAGCTATGGAATACCCGAACTGTAACCACTGCCATTAATGGATGGAATTCTACTTGGACTTCATTTCTATTCATTTCAGTGAAGATGGCCACGTGGGACCAGACTATACCCCAGAGCATACAGATTAAAAACTCCAAGTTAAATGGGGGCAGAACATGGCGACTTCTTCTAGGTGACAAGCATCTAATGGGTAAACACATATTTTGAGAAAGTGAATGAGGCTATCAATAAATGCAATTAGCTGGGCGCCAGTGCCTCACACCTGTCATTCTAGCTACTCAGGAGGCTGAGACCTGAGGATTGTGGTACAAAGCCAAGCCTGGGCAGGAAAGTCCATGAAACTCTTACCTCCAAATAACCACCCAAAAACTGGAAGTGGTATTGTGGCTCAGAGTGGTAGAACAACAAGCCTTGAGCCAAAAGAGCTCAGGGACAGCACCCAGGCCCTGAGTTCAAGCCCCACGACTGACACTAATTCATTATTGTATGTATGTATGCAATTAACTGGTGGTTAGGACCCCACCCCCAACTCATTCCCTCTGGGACTCTCAGAATAAGATTTTTAGAGCTTGTGATAGGAAAAAATCCTCTGGAAATCAAACCCCACCCAACCCAGGTTGCACAGCTCAAAGCAGAAAGGGCAATTAAGATGCACCTCCAGGACTGGGAAGGTGGCTTTGTGGTAGAGTGCTTGCCTCGCATGCATGAAGCCCTGGGTTCCATGCCTTAGTACCACATCTACCAAAAAAGCTAGAAGTGGTGCTGTGGCTCAAGTGGTAGAGTGCTAGCCTTGAGCAAAAGCAGCTCAGGGACAGTGCCCAGGCCCTGAGTTCAAGCCCCAGGACTAGGGGGGGAAGAAAAAAAAAGACGCACCTCCAATTTTGACAGTAAAATCGTGGGCAACCATGCAGTTTCGTGCAGCCAGGTCTCGGTGCACAAACTTCTTGGCATTCAGGTAGGCCATGCCGTCAGCAATCTCTCCTGCCATCTGAATCATCTCTTGCAGCGTAGGGGGTGGTCGACCCGGGTTATTCTGTGATGAAAAATGGGGTGGAGGGGGGAGGGAGGATTTGTTATGTTCAAGAATACTGGAAGCCAGAGCCAGGAGTGGGAGCCCGACTTGGTATCTGGAGCTAAGCTCACCTCGGCGTCTGGCCTCAGAGATCGGAGGTAGCTCTTCAGGTCTCCTTGAGCCATCAGTTCCATCACCACCAGTGTGGGCTGGCCCTTGGACACCACGCCCAGGAGGCGGACCTGTGGGGCAGGCATGGGCGGTGGGGATTGCTCCCATCACAGTCTATCATTCAGTTCCTCTGTCTGGAGCCTACACAGTGCTCCCAGCATCTTGCAGCAGTATGGAGTGAGCTCAACCACCCCAATCTCGGGGTATAAACAGACCCTGCCCACCTGCAGGACATCTCAAGGCTAATCTCAGCTCCTTCACACTCCCAGTGGCTCACACCTGTGATCCTAGCTACTCAGGAGGCAGAGATCTGAGAAAGCCCATATCTGAGAGCCCAGGCAGGAAAGTCAGTGAGACTTTTCTTGTTTTTGTCCATCATGGATGTGGGCACTGTCCCTGAGCTCTTTTTCACTCAAGACTAGCACTCTAAAATTTTGAGTCACATCACCACTTCTGGTTTTTCTGGTGATTAACTGGAGGTAAGAGTCACCTGGACTTTCCTGCCTGGGCTGGCTTTGATCCATGATCCTCAGATCTCTGTCTTCCTGAATAGCTAGGATTACAGACATGAGCCACCTGCACCCAGGCAATGAAACTCTTCTCCACCCACACACACCCCCAAAAAAAAAGCTGGAAATGGAGCTGTAGTTCAATAATAGAGTGTAGTTTTGAGCAAAAGAAGCTCATGGACAGCATCTAGCCCCTGAATTCAAGCCCCAGGACCAGCATTACATATACTCCCAACAAATATCCATGCTCTCACACAAGCCATGCTTCTACCCCCAAATCTCTGCATCCACTTTCCCGCTGTTGGGTGCTCTGTCTCTTCCCATGTCCACAGAAGTTGGTCTCTCACATTTTTTAGTTTTTGCTTAAGTATACCAACCTCCCTCTTCTCTCCTCTCTTTTTTCCTATTTCCACTGCCTTTTCTCTAAAACATAATTCACATATTGGGTTTCGAATCCGTCTCCACTGCCTGGGACCCAGTCCACAAGGACAGAAATCTGTTGCAAGCCAGGGACAACAAAGGAACTTAGGAGTCCCATACATATGGATGGTAAGGATGAAAGGGTACAGACCCCAACAAGAACACAAAGACAGAGAAAGCTTGTACTGGCTTCTGGAAGAAATAGAAAGCAGACCTCCATGTAGTTAAGGGTTACACATGAGCCAAGAAGAGGGAAGAGACAGAAGAGTCTGGAAAACAAAGGAAGATTTTAGAAAGAGACAGAAGATTCTGGGAAGCAATGGAAGATCCTGGATAATGATGAGAGTCTCAGAAAGCAAGATTCTAGGAAGTGATGGAAGGTTCTGGAAAGTGAAGGGAGATTCTGAAAGTCTAGAAAGCAAGGGAAGACTCTGGAAAGCAATGAAAGATTCTAGAAAGCAAGAGGAGTTTCTAGAAAGTGATGGAAGAGTCTAGAGGTGATAGAACATCCTAGAAAGTGATGGGAGATACTCAAAAGCAGATTCTGGAAAGCAAGTGAAGATTCTATCAAGTGAAGGAAGTTTCTGTGAAGCAATGGAAGATTCTGCGAAGCATGGGAGACCCTCAAATGAGAGAGTCCGGAAAGCAATGGAAGATGCTAGAAAGCCAGGGAAGTTTCTGGAAGGTCAAGATTCTCAAAAGTTGTAGAAGATTCTGGAAAGTGACATGAGAAAAGCAATGGAGGACTCCAGAAAGCAAAGGAAGATTCTAGAAAGTGATGAGTGAAGATTCTGGAAAGTGATGAGAGTCTTAGAAAACAAAGGAATATTCTAAGAAGTGATGGGAAGATTCTGGGAAGCTACAGAAGCTCCTCAAATGAGAGCGTCTAGAAAGCAATGGAAGATTCTAGAAAGCCAGGGAAGTTTCTGGAAGGTGAAGATTCTGGAAAGCGATGGAAGATTCTGGAAAGTGAAGAGAGGAAAGCAATGGAGGACCCCAGAAAGCAAAGGAAGATTCTAGAAAGTGGTGAGTGAGTGATGAGTTTGGTACCAGGTGAGGTGGGAGAGGATGAAATATGGAAGGGCAAGACTCCCCCATCGCCTCACATCTTGGGCATGGGAGGTTTATTTAGGAGGATGTGGGGCATGCAGGGGTCCATGTCCAGTGTCCTGGATGGGCTCAGTGCTGTTTGCACAGAAGCCTTCGTCCCCTCCCGCCCGCACTCACCACGTGGTGACAGGTGAAGCCCTTCATGACCGAAGCCTCGTTGAGGAACTCAATGCGCTCCCGCAGACTGGCCGCCTCATTGACCGTCTTCACCGCCACACGGGTCTCCGCCTCGCCCTTGATGATGTCCTTGGCATTGCCCTCGTACACCATACCGAAGGAGCCCTGGCCCAGCTCCCGCAGGAGGGTGATCTTGTCCCGGGGCACTTCCCACTCGTCCGGCACGTACACAGAACATGGAAAAACTACTTCTCACTTATCCACACGGTGTCTCGGCCCACCCAGACACCTCCCAACATAGCTGGAGCCCCCCCAATCCATCCAAGGGGCCCCCAAAATCCATCCATCCTCCCATCCAGGATCTCTCTCTCTCTCTGCTGAGCACTGAGCTTAGAGCCCAGCACAGCACAAGGCAGGCATCCACGGCTAACACAAAGATTCAGCTCATCTCCCCAAATCAACCTGGTCCAAATCCTGGCCCTAAGTGCACAGCATGGCCGAATCCCCGGCCTTCTACCCATTCTCAGGTTCCCCCACTACTTCCTGTTGGCTCTGCTGATTTGCCAGCTGTGCTGTGGGAGTTGGGATGGAGCGAAGGGAAAGGAAGTGGGTTCACAAAAATGCCAAAAAGGCATGTAAATCTGTGTATGCTTTTAGATGTGAAAATGCATGTCATTTCCATAGAGAAAAATAAATAAATACTTAGGAAATTATAGACAATGTAGGGGAAAAAACTGCCCAAGATACTTAGCAGTCCATCCCACCAAGGGATGGATTCTACAAGGATTGCTTCGGTTGATGGGAGACAATCCAAGATGAGAAGATGGGAAGGGGCTTTGCCCTGGCACTTTCCCACCCTGGTTGCTAGGAATCTATACAAGAATCCCAGGCTGGACCTTGAGAGATGAGAAGGGAAGAGGGAGGGAGAGATGGAGGCTCAGCCATGCCTGGAGACCACCAGCCTGCAGATGACCAGCCATATCCAAGCCCTAAAACAATGGTCACTGTCCCACAATTAGGTCCTTTGAAGCCAGCCAGAGTGGCTCACGCCTGTCATCCCAGCTACTCAGGAGGCTGAGATCTGAGGATTGTGGTTAGAAGCCAGCCAGGGCAGGAAAGTCTATGAGATTCTTATCTCCAATGAACCACCAAAAAAAAAAAAAAGGTAAAAGTAGAGCTGTGGCTCAAAGTGGTAGAGCACTAGCCTTGAGCAAAAAAAGCTCAGGGACAACATCAGGTCCTGAGTTCAAGCTGGCAAGTACACACACACACACACACACACACACACACACACACCGACTACCTTAAAGGAAGGGCAAAGGACTCACCATCACTGGCACTGAGATACTCAGGATTTGAAGAAGCATATAGTGGTCCCATTGGCCCATCCGGCTGCCTGGAGGAGAAAGACAGGGAAACACAAGCTTGAGATTCTTGTAGAACTCTGTAGAACTGGCCAGCATGTGAATATTTACACCCCATGGAAATAGGCAACAACTACAACTCAGGAATTGCTATAAATGACTCTTGTTTTCCAAACTTGAGAAAACAAGAATGTATAGGAACTTACACATCTTATTTCTGTCTTATTCTCTAATGCAAAATGTTAATCAAGCTGAGTTTGGTGGCACATGCCTATAATCCCAGCACTTAAAAGGCTATATGCCAAGAAGACTGTGAGCTCCAGGTCAGTATAGACTAAATAGTGTCTATTAAAAACAAACAGGGGCTGGGAAGGTGGCTCGGTGGTAGACTGCTTCCCTTTCATGCATGAGGCCCTGGGTTCTATTCCTCAGCTCCACATAAGCAGAAAAAAGCCGGAAGTGGTACTGTGGCTCAAGCGATAGGGCACTAGCCTTGGGCTGAGATCTGAAGATCACAGTTCAAAGCCAGCCAGGACAAGGAAGCCCCCAAGACTCTTATCTCCAATTCATTACAGAAAAAGCCTGAAATGGTGCTGTGGCTCCAGCCCAGAGGAAAAGAAGCTCAAAGACAGCATCCAGGCCCATAGTTCAAGCCCCAGGAATGGCCAAAAAGAGAAAGAACAGAAAGAAAACCAAAAATCAATTAACATCTACATTAATAGCCATCTTAGGCTGGTCATAGGTACAAAGATTTTATGGAAGACAAATAAAAACTCTCAGTGAGAATCAATGAACTACAAAGAAGTTTGTATAACAGTGTTGTAAATGAGAGGCCAAGCTTAGTGGTACATGCCTATCATCCCAGCTACTCAGAAGGCACGGACAAAAGAATTATGGTTTGACACCAGTCTGGGCAAAAAGTTAGCAAGGCCCTTATCTTAACCAACAAGCCAGGCATGATTACACATGGTTATAATCCCAACAACCTGGGAGGCGGTGGAGGCAGAGGATGGCAATCCAAAGCTAGGCCGGGGCAAAAGCATGAGACCCTATCTAAAAAACTAAAGCAAATAAAGGGAGCTGGGAGTGTGGCGCCAATACCGTATTGCCATGTAATTCATCCCGTCTCAGTAAAATCTGTGAACATACTCCAGTTATGCCTGCACCTGTTCCTAGGCACTTGTTTTCTGTCTGTTTGGGGTTTGGGGCGGGGAGGGGTGTCTACCTCTTTCTGAGGAACAGGTAAATGCTTCCGATCACACCGCTGAAGAGGAAGACGAAGATGAGCGGGCCGATGATGATTTTCGCAAGGTTGGATGGGACATCTACTGAAATAGAGGAGAGAGGAAAAATAACTAACTGATTCGCATCAAAACGTGTTTACCTCAGATTTCACATCACAAATCCCACTGTCCTGGCCATGCTGTGGCCCTGTCTGTCTGTCTGTCCCCGTCTGTCTCTCTGTCCATTTCTCTCTCGTCAAGTGGTAGAGCACTAGTCTCTCAGTCTGTCCTCTCTCTCTTTCTCTCTCTCTCTGTTCAAGGCAATCCAGACACAAAGTTTGTGAGATTCTACCCCCATTCTTAACAAACAACAAACCACACCAAGACATGGCGGTAGAGACTTACAATAATCTGTCACGTAGAAATAAGTAGGTTCGGTCCAGGAGCCGTTGCCGGCCAATGAGGTGGCCCGGATGCGCACACTGTAGTTGCCAGGGGGCAGCCCTCGCAGCCGGCATCCCTGCTCCAGGGCAAAATGCTTTCTGGAGACGCAGAGGTGAAGCTCCTAGAAAGAGGGAACAAAGGACCCACAGGGTAAGGTGACAGCCCTGTTGTCTGGGAAGCACAAATTGGAGTCAGGAGCCAGGCATCAGACCTGCATCCCTGACTTGCTTTATCAGCAGCCTCCGGTGATGAGCAAGGAAACTGGACTTCAGATGGGGGCTGCAGGCCAGGACCTGAGAGTAAATACTCCCAACTCACAGATCAGACTCAACTTTGCACAAAAACAGCTACGGAGAAATCCATCAACATACATAAAGGAACAGTATAGGAGCCAGGCACTGTGGCTCAGGCCTATAATCCCAGCTACAGGGGAGGCCGAGATCTAAGGATCGTGGTTTGAAGCCAGCCAGCCTGGGCAGGTAAGTCTCTAATTAGCCAGTAAAAGCAAGGCTGGAGGCATGGCTTAAGCACAGAGCACTTACCTAGCAAGCTTGAGGCCTTGAGTTCAATTCCCCCAAACTTCCCTTAATCTCCCCCAAAATATTTCATAGCTCACAAGGGGGGAGGGAGGAGAGGTGGAGGGGAAGGGGGGCAGGAATATCAGGAGGCCCCACTTGGCTCACAAAGTAGAGTTTGCTTAAAAGATTAGTTCACTTCAACTTGATCAAAAAAAGAAAGAAAAACAACTGAGAATTCTAGAGCTGAGAAGCAACCAGGGGCAAAAATTGAACTCGGAACTCTTACCCCACACCCCTCCCCCAAAGTCAGGCAGGTGGCAAAGAAGAGGACCCCCATCGGGGGAACATCCAAGAACAAATAGGCCAGGCACTGATGGTTCATGGCTATCATCCTAGCTACTCTGGAGGCTGAGATCTGAGGATCCTGGTTCAAAGACAAGCTGGGCAAGAAAGACCATGAGACTCTTATCTCCAATGAACCACCAAAAAAGCAGAAAGTGGAGCTGTGGCTCAAGTGGTAGAGCACCAGCCTTGAGGGAAAAAGCTCAAATGAACCACCAAAAAAGCAGAAAGTGGAGCTGTGGCTCAAGTGGTAGAGCACCAGCCTTGAGGGAAAAAGCTCAGCGAGGGCATCTAGGCCCTGAGTTCAAGCCTCAGAACCCACACACATAGATAATAAATAAACAGAATTTGGCATTTTTCCAAGTGTCTGCAAGGACTGAATATAAAGCAAAGGACACGCATGCCCAGTACAGACAGGGAGGTGGAGGTGAGCCAGAACTAATCAGGAGAGAGGCTCACTGAGGAAAGCGGGTCAAACCGGTTAGCAGCCAACCAGAACTTGGAAAACTTTGCCCAACCGTTTCAAAGTTAACCGGCTGTGCAGAAAGCCCAGCTTGGAAACTGGCAAGGGGTGGAGAGAAGAAATGTTACATGTCTCAACGCCCATGTTTATCCTGCCATGATCAAATCTCAAGGGCCAGGTGACTGGAGCTGGCAAACAGGAGACAGGGAGCAAAGGTTCAAATATACAAATTCTCGAATGTTTACTACAGGCAACTCCAGGGGGTGGGGAGGCAAGAAGGAAACAGGGTGGAAAGATCTAGAATCTGCCCCAGTTGATTTCCATGGAGGCAAAGAGCAAAGTAAGAATTGAAACCCAATCAATGGTGAAGGAGCTAAATGCTCTCTGTCTGTCTGTCTGTCTGTCTGTCTGTCTGTCTGTCTCTCTCTCTCTCTCTCTCACACACACACACACACACACACACATTGTAATCTGACACCAGTAGCTCATCCCTGTAATCCTAGCTACTCAGGAGGCTTAGATCTGAGGATCAAGGTTCAAAGCCTGCCCAGACAGGGAAGTCCACGAGACTCTTACTGCCAATAAACCATCAAAAGAGCCAAAAGGTGGAACTGTAAGTGGTAGAGCACTAGCCTTGAACAAAAGAAGCCCAGGGACAACACCCAGGACTAAGTTCCAGCCCCAGGACTGGCACCAAAAAAAAATAATAATAGTAAGGACTGGGAAGGTGGCTCAGTGGTAGTATGCTTGCCTTACATGCATGAGGCCCTGGGTTTGATTCCTCAGCACCACACAAGCAGAAAAAGCCAGAAGTGGTACTATGGCTCAAGTAGTAGAGCGCTAACCTTGAGCTGAAGAGCTGAGGAACAGCGCCCAGGCCCAGAGTTCAGGCTCCACAACTGACACAATATAAAAATAAAAATAAGGAAGCTAAAGAAAATGTTGATCTAAAAAAATAATATTAACGAATAAAAATAATAAATATAGCCAGGCACTGGTGACTCAAGCTGGTAAGCCTTAGCTACTCAGGAGGCTGAGATCTGAGGACTGCAGCTCAAAGCCAGCCTGGGCTGGAAAGGTCTTGAGACTCTTATCTCCAATGAACCACAGAAACCAGAAATGGCTCTGTGGCTGCGGTTCAAGTGGTAGAGCGCTAGCCTTCAGCAAAACAGCTCATGCCAGTAATGGGGTTTGAACACAGGGCCTGAATATTACCCCCTTTGCTTTTTTTCTAAGCTCAAGGCTAGGTAGTACTCTTATCTCTTAAGCCACAGATCCATTTCTGGCTTTTCTTTTTCTTTTCTTTTTTGTTTTCTGGTTAACTGCAGATAAAGAGTCCTTGGGATTTTTCTGCTCAGGAGGGCTTCAAACCATGATCCTCTGGATCACAGCCTCTTGAGCACACAGCGAGGATGACAGGCGTGCACCGGGCCAGGCCAGCGGCTCGATGCCATCTCCAGACGGGCTGACAGGACAGCCAAGGGTCTATGTTTCGGTGACCCGGGCTTCGGGGAGGGAAGCGTGACGCTGGGGGCTGGAAAGGCCTCACCTCATCGCCGTAGCGCCGGTAGCTGACTTCATACAGCACGATCAGGCCGTTGGGCTCCTTGGGCTCCTGCCAGGTCAAGTGCACAACGTTGTTCTCGAAGATTTCGTGGGTCACAGGGCCGACGATGTCATCCGCCTTGGCTGCAGGATGATGAAGTCCGGGTGTCAGATCGCACCCTGCCCCCGGCCCTGCCCGCCCCAGGGACAGGATCCTCCCAGGCCCCCCACTCTGGATATTGAGGCGCAGAGGGGTATCTCCTTCCTCGTTCATCTTCCGGTCATTGGTGGGGGGGGGGATGGCATGAGGAGCTTGCCTGGGAACCCCAGTAGGGTGGCTACCACTCTGGCCACGCCCACTGCCGAGCCAGGTCCTGATAAGCCACGCCTCTCTCCTGGCCACACCCCAGAGACATGCCCCCTTTGTGGAGCCACGCCCCCACCGCTATAAAGCATCGCCCTTCTGCTGAGCCACACCCCCAACACTTAACCCCGCCCCTTCCAACTGAGCCACACCCCCACCGCTGAGCCACTTCATCTATGTAGCCACATCCTTCTGCAGAGCCACACCTCCACCACTTAGCCACGCCCCTTCCACTTGAGTCATGTCCCCCTTCACTTAGGCCACTCCCCCACCATTGAGCCACACCTCCTGTCTGCTAGCTGGTCTCTTGGCTTACTGAGGACCCAGGCTGGCCTGGGGCTTGCAGGCTCCTTGCCCAGGGCCTGGAAAGTAGACCAGAGCCACCAGTCAGTGCTTGTGTTTGTTGTTTTTCTTTTTTGTCGGGTTGTGAGGCTTGAACTAGAGTCCCTTCACTCTTTTGCTCAAGGCTAGGGCTCTACGAGTCACAGCTCCACTTCTGGTTTTCTGGTGGATCATTGGAGATAAATCCCATGGACTTTCCTGCCTGGGTTGGCTTTGAACTGCGATCCTCAGCTCTCAGCTTCCTGAGTAGCTAGGATGATAGGCATGAGCCACCAGCGCGTGGCTTAATATTTCATTGTTTTAAATTAATTTACTTTATGGTTATTATAGAGGTAATCTCTCAACCCACGAGTTGTATAGTTGTATAGTTTACCTTCTCCCACGTACTTCATTTTTAATCTACTCTTTTTCCTCCTCCTTCCATTTTTATTCTCTTTCTGTTATAATTAGGTCCACTTTTCCTCTCTTAATTACCTGCTTTTGTCATCTTTCATCATTCCTGCTCTCTCATTCTTATTTTCATTGTTTCAGCTGACTTTGTGTTTGTCTTTCTTCCTTACTCCTCTATCTGGTAGGATGACTTCTTTCCTTCTGCTTTCTATCTCCTTTCCACCTAGCTCTCTAGTGCTATTCTCTAGGATTGTTTTTCTTGTTTTCTTGCTATTCCTGCCCAAGCCAATAGCTTCTTAGCTCAAGCATTATCTGTTACAGGAGTGGTGGCAATAGCTATTTTGGTTTCTGGTTTTATGCGTGCACTAGTACTGGGGCTTGAACTCAGGGCCTCACATTCTCACTTGGATCTGATATTCAAGGTTGGTGCTCTACGACTTGAACTAGGCTTTGTTTGAGAAAACTTTTTAAAACTATGCCTTTTTTTCCCCTTTTTTGCCTTGAATATAAAAAAAGCTGAGGAAATGAGCCAGAACCCTGAGTTCAAGTGCCAGTACAAGAACAAACAAAAAAAGCTAGCAGTGGTGGCTCATGCCTGTGATCCTATCTACTCTGGAGGCTGAGAGCTGAGGATCGCAGTTCGAGGCCAACCTAGGCAGGCAAGTCCATGAGATTCTTACCTCCAATGAACCACCAGAAAAACAGAAGTGGTGGTGTGGCTCCAAGTGGTGGAGCTCTAGCCTTGAGCGAAAGAGCTCAGGGACAGCACCCAGGCCCTGAGTTCAAGCCCCACAACCACCAACAACAACAAAAAAGACTTCATTTCCAATTAACCAGCAAAAAACAGGGCTGATGATGTGGCTCAGGTGGTAGGGCACCAGGCATAAATGAGCATATAGCATATATGTGTGTATGGATATAGATATAGATGAGGGCTGCACCTTCAGGCATGGTCCGGGCGCTGACATAGGCGGCCACGCTGCACCTCTCCTCCGGGGCGTCTTGGTTGCAGGCCTGCAACTCGATGCGGTAGCCGGTGAAGTGACGCAGGCCCGAGATGACCAGCGACTCCTTGTTCACAACTTTCTCGACGGGCCGGGGTGGCTCCTGGGTGGTGGGCACCACGGTGGAGGAGACGTTGGGGAAAATCGGGATGACAGGCGGCATCATGGTCACGTTCACCACGTCCCCGAGAGACCTGCGCTTCCTGGATGGCCTGGAGTGACAGGAAGACACGGGGAAGGGGGAGGGACAGGGTCACAACTTCACCTTCGTGAAAGGAAAGGAAGCGGGAGAGACCGCGGCGTGGCAAGGGAAGAGCAGATTGCACAGAAGTAAAATTACCACCAGGAGAAGAAGCTTTCAAGTTATTACTCTGATATTTCAGTATCACAGCCCGTGGCCCCAGGGCCATTTGCTTGATTAACCAAGGTGCTGATTTGCTCCAAATAATCACCAAGGTTAGTGTGGAAATAGAGATGAGATGCGAGCTGGGTGCTGGGGTATATGGGGGGGGCGCGAGGGAGAACCTCACATTTGTCATCTTAGTTACTCAGGGGACAGCGATCGGGAAGATCGCAGTTCCAAGCCAGCCCAGGCGAAAGAAGTTCACAACGCCTCATCTCAACAGAAAGGGCCAAGTGTTGTGACACACGCCCAGCTATGGTGGGAAGTAGGAGCAGAGGAATCATAAAACCAGGCTGACCCAGGTTCAAACAGAACACTGTGTAGCCCAGGACAGTTTTGAATTTGAGGTCTACCTGTGTCAGACTCTTGAAGGCTGGGACTACAGGCTTATGCCACCACACCCAGCTCATCTTCCTATATATATGTTTTGGTTTGGTTTGGTTTGTTTTTTTTGGGGGGGAGATCCATCATAGGGCTTGAACTCTGGGCCTGGGTGCTGTCCCTCAGCTCTTCACCTCAAGGCTAGCGCTCTACCACTTGAGCCACAGCACCACTTCTGGTTTTCTGATGGTTCACTGGAGACAAGAATTTCTCAGACTTTCCTGCCTAGGTTGGCCTCGAACTGCGATCCTCAGACCTCAGCCTCCTGAGTAGCTAGGATTATAGGTGTGAGCCACCGGTGCTCAGCCTTTTTTTTTTTTTTTTAATTTTAATCAGAGTATTCTCTTGGAGGCCGAATGATAGGATACATGCCCTGGGTTTGATTTTAAAAAAAAATTTTAAGAGCATTTCCCTTTTTTTTCCCACCATAATATTGCTCTGCTGATTGTCTGATTTCTTATTAGTTTTCAAATGTTGATCAGTGGGGGGTGGGAGTCACTAAATTAAAGGAAATAGGAAACATTTTACACTTCATAAGCCACCACCACTATATTTGTTATCTAGAAACATTGTAACAATTCGTGGGCTGACCTACAGGGAACTCACCAAATTCAGCGAAACTGGAGGTTAAAAAATTGGATTAGAGGCTGGGACCTAGGGCTCACACCTGTTATCCTAGCTATTCAGGAGGCTGAGATCTAAGGATCACAGTTCAAAGCCAGCCTGGGCAAGAAAGTCAGTGAGACTCTTATCTCCAATGAGGCAGAAAAAAGCCAGAAGCAGAGCTGTGGCTTGAGTGGTAGAACAGTGGCCTTGAGCAAAAAAGCTCAGGGACAACGCCCAGGCCCTCAGTTCAAGCCCCAAGACTGGCCCAAAAAAAGAAAGGAAGGAAGGAAAGAAGGGAGGGAGAGAAAAAGAGGAAAGAAAAAAAAAACATTGGGTTGCATTTGATTAGTTTGTTTTCCAAATTTTCAACCTGAGAGATGAAATATACGGTATAATTGGACTGTTTTAATTGCAGTGCTTTTGTGTGTGTGTGTGTGTGTGTGTGTGTGTGTGTGTGTTGGTTCTGGGACTTGAACTCTGGGCCTGGGTGTTGTCCCTGCTCAAGGCTAGTACTCTACTACTTGAGCCACAACGCCACTTCCAGCTTTTTACTGGTTAATTGGAGTTAAGAGTCTCACAGACTTTCCTGCTCAGGCTGGTTTTGAACCTCAATCCTCAGATCTCAGGCAAGAGCAACTGGTTCTGGCATACTGAGTTTTTATGGCAATTATGACAGGAATCACTCGCTTATTTCATATTTCAATTATGGCAAGTGGATCTGCTTGGGGCAGCTATTTCCGGATAGGCCTCCTTAATCTAAACCCAAAACAGGTTGTTGACAGGGCACTTGGCTCTCAGAATCTGAGGGCCTCACTGTCAGGCCCTCCAGGATGACAATGAGCTAGAAGGTTCTATGCTCACCTTTTTCTAGCACACTCCCTGATAAACCAACCATGTTTAGAGTTTATCCACCAACTTCACGGTAGACCAAAAGGACCAATCACAGGAGCCGTGACTCCATCCCAGGCACTCTCTGGCCAGCGCCGATGCTGCTGGCTAGAGCCCAGGATGGGGTGCACACACAGATTGGTCTCAGCCAGGGGTGATCCCAGAAATCCAGCTTCATTGAGGCCCAGACAAAACCCTGTTTTTTCTCCACCACCTATTATGCTCAAAATGACCACTAGGGGGCAGAGCGGATCACACAGGCAACACCTGGCCTAACAAACCTAATTCAGGAGCTGGTAGCTCACACCTGTCATCCCAGCTACTCTGGGGACTAAGGGAGATGTTCACATTTTTTTTTTTCACCTCAGCCTTCCTGCACCCAGTAGGCGCTGCTGGAGTGCGCCGGACCTGCTGCTGCATGGATCTCAGGCTGCGGATGTAATCCTAGTAGAGGTAAACTGAGGCATGGGAGGGACCCAGGAAATCCTCCTTCGATTCTAATTTTTTGTTTTTCTTTTTAGGAAGAGTGTGTTAGTTCATTCTTTCTCTCCACCCCGCCCCCCCCCATTCATGCCCAGATTCCGTTTTGATAGGAAGACATTGAATGGGTGAATTTGGGAAGCATCTGATAAGACAGCCCGTCATGCAGAAAGCTACAGGAACCCCTGCGTGGCACTGAGCAGCCACGGGGTGAGGGGGGCCATGAGGACGTGACCAGGCTGAATCATACCTAGAATCTTCTACACCATTGCCTGAAGAGGCTTTTCTGTAAAAACAAATAAAACGAAAATCAAACACTTTTGAGGCCAGACACAGCATCATCCAACTGGACTCTGCCACTCGGAAGCCACGTCAGGATGAGGACAGAGGTTGAGTACAGCTTCCCAGGAATTAGAAAATAACTGGTAGGCAGGATGGCAAATAAGGGGTAATGGACCCTTTAAGGGGTAGAGCCTAAGTGTGACCTCATCATCGAGCCCCGCCCCCTGTTCCTCATTGGCTTCCCCAGTGACATCATATGATGCAGCCAGGGTGACCTTGGCTCTTGGGCTCCCCAGAACTGCCAGCTAATAAAGGAATCTTTCTTCTTTATACTGCACCAAGCCTCACACATTTTTGTTTTTGTGTGTGTGTGCCAGGACTGGGGTTTGAACTCAGGGCCTGGCTCTCCATCCCTTAGCTTCCTTGCTCATGGCCTGGTTCTCTACCACCAATGTGGTCCACACCTCCAACCTGGCTTTTTCCTGGCTCTCTGGGGATTGGAGTCGCAGGCTGGCTTCAACACTCCATCCTCCGAATGTCAGCCTCCTGAGAGGTAAGGCTAGGATGACAGGCGTGAGCCGCTGATGGCCGCCTCGGAGATGATTTTAAGCTATGAGGAGAGGTTCTCAGGTTGCCTGCAAACGCTACACCATTTGTAGAAGACATCTGAGCATCTTTCTTGGGGCAGACACTTAGCACCCAACTGTCAAAGGAGAAAATCATGATGGAGGAAGAAAGGGAAACTGAGTCAGGCCGATAGTCAGCTCATGTCCACACAGACAACATTCAACATCTCTACCACTAAAGCAAAGAAACTCAACAGATGAACCTGTCCAACGTGGATCCACAAAAGACAAAATAAAATAAAATAAAAACTTTCTTTAAAAAAGATGGATTTTAAGCGTAGAGTGATTTTTCTTGCCAGCTCCCAGCCCAGCACATGAGCCTTTCACTCACTAAAGAACTGGTACTATTTCAATAGGAGAAGCCTTTAGGAGTTTTGATGATGCTGTGGAAAGTTCCAGAAAGGTGAGGGGCTGACATGGATTAAAAAGGGAAAGTAGGCTGGATACTGTTGGCTCATGCTATAATCCCACCTAATCGGGAGGCTGAGATCTGGGGATTGTGCAAACAAATCCAAGATACTCTTATCACAAATTAACCAGCAAAAAGATAGAAAGGGAGCTTTGACCCAAGGGGTACAGCACCAGCATAGAGAAAAAAAATCAAGCAAGAGTGAAAGACCCTGAGTTCAAGTCCCAAGGCTAACATGAAAAGAGAGAGAAAGAAAGAAAGGAAGAAAAAAGAGACAGA